TAAAATGGCTATAATATACCTACTTCCTCATCAGTTATTTTTAAGTTTAAGAGTTAATAGAGGTAAGGTGCTTTAAAAAGTGTCTGGTATGTATTAATCACATTTATATGTGATAAAAGTAAAGATTAGCATGAGCAGTAGAAAGGATCTTAGGGTAATTTGGGCCAGCATTTCATTTTACAGATAAGGAGGCAAACATAGAGATAGAATTGAGATTAGAAGCCAATTCTGTAGACTTCTAGTCCAGGGTGGTTGCCGCTAGTCCTAGCTGTTTTAGGAATCCATATTGCTTCAAAAGCATTTCCCTTTAGGTTCCTCTTCCCCTCCTCCTTATAGCTGGTATTTCTAGAGTACAGACATATGTGGCCTCATTTAATCCCTTACAGCGGGCTATGAAGCAAATGCCACTATTATCCCCATTTTTTTATAAGTGATATCTGAGGCTCAGAGAGGTTCATTTACCTGCCCAAGGCTACACAGCTTCTGAGAAGTTCAGTCTGGATTAAAACCCAGACCTCTGACTTCAGAGCCTGTGCTCTTAACCACGCCACTGATTTTCCTTAGAAAGTCTCAGTGGAGTACGGTTGTGCTCAATTAAACCATGTGAGTATTTGACAAAGGTGAGCTGCAGGAGCCACGGGGCCCAGGGAATGTAAAGGTATTTTGCAATCCTTTTTCAACCTATATCTGCTTTCCTTTTATTTTTATTTATTTATGTTGTTGTTGTTGTTGTTTGCTTGTTTTCTTTTTTTTGAGACAGAGTTTTGCTGCTGTTGCCCCTGCTAGAGTGCAGTGGTGCAATTTCGGCTCACTGCAACCTCTGCCTCCCAGGTCCAAGCAATTCTCCTGCCTCAGCCTCCCAAGTAGCTAGGCATGTACCACCACACCTGGCTAATTTTTGTATTTTTTTTTTAGCAGAGGCAGGGTTTCACCATGTTGGTCAGGCTGGTCTCGAACTCCTGATCTCAAGTGATCTGCCTGCCTCGGCCTCCCGAAGTGCTGGGATTACAGGCATGAGCCACCGTACCCGGCCTGCTTTGTTTTTAGACCTGGTTTCTCTTATGTGTCTTCTGACACAGTGCAGTTACACTAAAACAGGTTACCCAAAGAATCTACCTGATGAAGAGAGTGAAATTTGAAGGTGATAGACCAGACCAAGAGAGGCCAGGAGCAGAGCTCTTTCGAGATAGGGACCATGTGGAGGTTATCAGGGCTCTGGGCAAGGATGCTAATAGACCAGAGATGTCAGATGTCAGAATCCCCACCTTGACCAGTGATTCTTCACTATTAATCCCTGTCAGATCCTGATGACAGCCTTGGACTTCCCTCTCTCTTGGAAAATGCAAAAGCTCACACACCAAAAAAGTATTTTGGAGTAGCTTCAAGGTTCATAACCCCCCCAGCTTCACCTCTGTGCTTGGCAGCATAGTAATTAAGGTCACACTTTGGATTAAATGGCCTAGGGTCAAATCCTCCTTTACTAGTTAACTGTGTAACCTTGAGCAAGTTACTTAACTTGGTCTTGGGCCTCCAGTTCCCTCAATGAGGGAACTTTTAAATGAGGATAATCATAGCATTTGATTATAGGGTTGTTAGAATTAAATGAGTTAATGTGTGTGACATTCCTAGCACGTGATTAACTCTATAGTAGTGTTCACTATATAATAGTAGTATTGCTGCCCTTGGACCTTAGCCTATTTAGTAAATGTTTATGGACAGAATGAATGAATAATTCTAGTTGAGATGCCAAGCCCAGGGTAGAGCATTCCAATCAGCATGTAGCAGATGGTCTATAGGTTTTTTTGGGTTTTTTGTTTGTTTGTTTGTTTTGAGATGGAGTCTCACTCTGTCGCCCAGGCTGGAGTGCAGTGGCGCAATCTCGACTCACTGCAAGCTCCGCCTCCCGAGTTTATGCCATTCTCCTGCCTTAGACTCCCGAGTAGCTGAGACTACAGGCGCCCTCCACCATGCCTGGCTAATTTTTTGTATTTTTAGTAGAGACGGAATTTCACCCTGTTAGCCAGGATGGTCTGGATCTCCTGACCTCGTAATCCGCCCGCCTCAACCTCTCAAAGTGCTGGGATTACACCGCGCCCAGCCAGTTTTTTGTTTTTCTTTTTTCTTTTTTTTTTTTGAAACGGAGTTTCGCTGTTGTTGCCCAGGCGGGAGTGCAATGACATGATCTTAGCTCACCACAACCTCCGCCTCCCGGGTTCAAGCAATTCTCCTGCCTCAGCCTCCCAAGTAGCTGGGATTACAGGCATGTGCCACCACGCCCGGCTAATTTTGTATTTTTAGTAGAGACGGGGCTTCTCCGTGTTGATCAGGCTGGTCTTGAACTCCCAGATGGTCTATAGTTTTGCCAAGATACTGATCCGCTCAACCCTCAGGGCTGCGAAAGCCCCAGTTGGTCGCTTCTGGCTTCAAGCAGTGACATCTGCAATGTGAACTTCTGACTTTAAGCAGCAGCATCTGCAATGCAATGTACAAATATCTGTCTCTCTCGGTCACCTGACACGAAAACGGTTTGGGTAGCACCAGTTGAGGATATCAGTTGGTAAGTCATGAGAATCCAGTAGGCAATCCAGATTCCAAGTCCAGGAGAATTTTGAGAATGGGTGTCAGAGAGTCTTCACGACTGCACTGAGTTTAGAGGCCGTGGGCTTCCTGGAGGTTTCACAAGTGTTGGGGTCACAGCTAGAGCAGGCTCCATACCACAGTGGGTACAGAGGATGTCCTGCCAGCAGGAAGCTTCAGTGCTTCCCACCTTGCATATGAGGGACCCAGGGAGTCACTCACAGGATTTGTGGAGAGCCCACAGTGTGAGGTGCTGCAGAAACCACTGTGATGCAGAAACCAGACTAGAGCCCAAAGCCTTGTGAAGGCAACAGACATGAAACAGATAGTGATAAGTACTGAAGTAGGTTAGGCCCAGAGGTGTGAGTGCTAGAAAAAGGTGGTACCTAGGCTGTGGGAGTTTATAACAGGACCCAGCCTTGTCTGCAAGGTGGACTCTAAGAGCTGTAGGAAACTATAGAAGGGTTTTAGTCAAGGAAGTGGTATGTTTAGATTTATACTCTTTTTTTTTCTTACAAACCCACTTTTATTTATTTACTTTTCATTAGTTTAAGTCCTTGAGGGGCACAGCATCACACAGATTCTGTGTTCAATAGCCTTAGCAAGACTGCTTGGGAATTTAGCACAAACCATGCCACTGTTTCCACAGGGCTGAGTTTACCTTTCCCCAGATTATGCTGTTTTCTTCAGTTTGCTGCCAGCAGTCAGTGTGGTGTTCTTTGCTTTGTACATGTAAGTACATCTTTTGCCTAAATAGAATTCAGTTTCATTTCGAGCATAAATACCTTCAATTTTCTTTTTTTTTTTTTTTTTTTCCCGGAGACAAAGTCTGGCTCTGTCGCCCCGAATGGAGTGCAGTGGTGCCATCTTGGCTCACTGCAAGCTCCGTCTCCCGGGTTCACGCCATTCCCCTACCTCAGCCTCCCGAGTAGCTGGGACTACAGGCACCCGCCACCATGCCCGGCTAATTTTTTTGTATTTTTAGTAGAGACAGGGTTTCACCACGTTAGCCAGGATGGTCTCGATCTCCTGACCTTGTGATCCACTGTCCTCAGCCTCCCAAAGTGCTGGGATTATAGGCGTGAGCCACCGCACCCAGCCAATACCTTCAATTTTAATAAGAGCTGTGTCCTCCCTTTGGTTCTGGAGGCCCAACTTACAGCTAGCAGAAAATGGCCTTGGACTACAGCCTTCCAAGTGTATTGTATTTATCTTATTATTACTGTTATTTTTAAGACAGGGTCTCTCTTTGTCACCCAGGCTGGAATTCAGTGGTACAATCATAGCTCACTGCAACTTCAAACTCCTGGGGTCAGGCAATCCTCCCACCTCAGCCTCTTGTGTAGCTAGGACTGCAGGCATGTGCCACTACACCTGGCTAATTTTTTTTTTTTCTTTTGTAGAGACAGTGTCTTGCTGTGTTGCCCACATTGGTCTTGAACTCCTAGCCTCAATTAATCCTCCTGCCTCAGCCTCCCAAAGCACTGGGATTGCAGGCGTGAGCCACTACACCCTGCCCATATTTGCCTTTTAGAAGTCCTGTTCTCAGCAGGCCTCTACAGGCTCCAAGATGGTGGGAAGAGAGCTTTTTAAAAAAATTCACCCTGACAGCATAAACATGAATGTTAGAACATAGTTGGAAGAGGCTGAGGCAGGAGGATCACTTGAGCCCAGGAGTTCGAGGTTACAGTGAACTGTGATGGAGCCACTGCACTCCAATCTGGGTGGCAGAGTGATACTTTGTCTCTAAAAAAGGAAAGAAAAGGAAATGAATTGGAAACAGACAAAAGTTGCTCTGAGGACATAAGTTAGAAGACTCCTTATAGTAGTCAGGAGGTGAAAGGTAATACTTGCCTGAAATAAGTACCTGGACTTTTGAGGGAAAAGGGGGACTCAAGCATGATCCCCTGCCAATTCTGGGTGGAAGGCAATACCATCCCTGGGATAGGGGATACTGGAAGTAAAATAGTTCTGGAAGGTTGGGACACATTGTGAGTTCTGTTAGGGACTTATTCCATGTGTGGTACATGTGGGATGTTCCCTGAGGAAGGCCAGTGGATAGATGGCTCCGAGCACAGGAGAGATGTTGGAGTAGGCAGAGAGAACCATCAGCAGTGGGGTTGACTGCCTGCCTTCAGCAGGGCTCCTTCCTAAGGGGAGAAAGTTTAGAAATGAATTTTGATCAGTGATTTCTTACTTTATGACCAGTTTGATTGGCATGCTTCTCTTCTACGCTCAACTTTTAGAATTCTTAGATAATGTATATTTTGAGCCCTTTTCATAAAAACCAATATAGTTCACTACTTTGAAGAATTCACCTTTTTTCTTCTTGGCTGGCTGGCCTCATGTAACTCCTTCCTTGAGTATCTTTGCAGTAGGAGAAAGCTGATTAACTCATAATGTGGTACTGTTCATTTTCTTAGATTTGTGACCCAGAAGGAAATCTCTGGCCTCGGCTGTGGCTCTTGGTGCTGGCCAGAAGCCAACTTCATGTCTGAGTGCGCGAGCAGCAGTTTGCCATGGAGAGCTTGGGGCTGCAGACGGTGACCCTTAGTGATGGGACAACAGCCTACGTCCAGCAAGCTGTCAAAGGTGAGTATTTCTGGAGACCTCAGGATCCTGCCCTGTCCCTCAGCCTCTGAAAAGGAGTGTCCATTTCTAAGAGTCCCACCATCACCTTGCCCTCCCGCCTGCTTACCCTTGCCCACGAGCACAACTTGCTCTGCATTAGAATCTCCTGTGGTGCTTGATGAAAAGGGAACTCTAAAATAAAATGCTACAAGTCAAACAATCCCAGTCATAGGAACCTGTACCTCTCAAAGACAGAATTCCTAATATGTATTGAGTAGTTCATAAATATTTCTGGAATGAACACAGTGTTAGTTATGACTCCCTGCTTTTCATATCCCCTGTCACAGTTTTTTAGTGCTTTCTAGAAGCAGTTTATCATCTTAATTCAAGTATATTCAAACATTCAAACTACTAAGCATCTACCATGTTCAAGATACTCTTCTAAGCCAGGCATAGTGGCTCATGCCTATAATCCCAGCACTTAGGAGCCTGAGATGAAAGGATCACTGGAGGCCAGGAGTTGGAGACCAGCCTGGGCAACATAGCAAGACTCTGTCTCTAAAAAAATAATAAAAATAATAATCTGGGTGCAGTGGCATGCACCTTTAGTCTCAGCTATTCAGGAGACTGAGGCAGAAGGATCACTGAAACCCAGGAGTTTGAGGATTCAGTGAACTATCATTGCACCACTGCACACCAGCCTGGGTGACACAGCAAGATCCCATCTCTAAAAAAATTTTTTTAAAAAAGATACTCTTCCAGATTCAGAGAGGAACACCCAAGCAGAGATCTCATGCCCTAATCTCTACTAGGGGATGCCAGAATTTAAAATATAGGGCACATAGTTAAATCTGAATTGGACATAACAATGAATACTCTTGTAGGATACGTATGTCCCAAATGTTGTAGGGACATATGTATACTACATACTAGGGACATACATATACCTCATATAAGGGATAGACATATGTAAACATAGGATTAAGCTGGGCTTGGTGGCATGCACCTGTAGTCTCAGTTACTTGGGAGGTTCAGATGGGAGGATCTCTTGAGGCCAGAAGTTTGAGGTCAGCCTAGACAACAGCAAGACCCCATCTCAAAAAAAGTAGGGAGTGTTAAATACTATAAAATACTAAAATAATAATACTAAGTTCTAAAAACAAAATGTATTATTTGAAATTCAGATTTACCTGGGCATCCTGTATTTTATCTGGCAATCCTACCCCCACTCTCAAGGTACTTAAAATCAAGGTAGGTGTGGAGTCAGAATAAAGTGTTTAGGGCAAGGCCTGCAGGCCAGGGACACGCTTCCTTTCTTGCCAGTGTTCTCAGGCAGCCATATAGCATTCGTGTCTTCCTTGGACAGCACTGGGCAAACACTGCCTTATTCCTACTCTTCATTTTCTGGACTCCATGATTGTCACTGTCCTCATAAAGCATTGGCATTGCAACATTGCCCTCCATTTCAACACACTATCAGAATATATTTCCGCTCCTGTGTTTACAGATAAGTTGTTTATTGATTTCATTTTAAGTTGTCTGTTTCCTGGTGATGACTAAGGAGGCCCCTTAATCTCATCAGTAAGCTCTTTCCATATGACAGTCTGTGGGGGTCCCTTTTGGAAAGGTTTCTTGTCAAGAGCTGTCTGTGACATGTGGGTTCTTGCTGGCTTCATCTTCTTGAGAATGCAACTTCTCTAGAATACTTTTGAAGCCTGAAACTCTCTGTTTGCAGACTTCCCACTCCAGGTCTTGCCCCTCCAGTGCAGTCTCCGTAGGATGGAAGAACTTAGAACTCTAGCTAGGGTTGTGTTTACTCCTTGGACCCAGTTAGTTCCTATGCCTTAGTCTTCCACTGAGAATTAATGGTCAAATGAATGAATAAAAAGCAAGTGACCACACCTGACCTGAGAGAGCCACTCTTTCCTATATCTGTCTGTCTTATGTATTTCTTTATTGTGTCAGTCTTCCTGGCTGTTCTGTGCCCACTCTGTGGTGTTGGAATGTGCACTTACACACATGCGCACTCACTCACTCACAACAGATTTTCCCTCTGCTCAGGGTAGAGCTGTCCTTCAGAGACCAGAACCACACTTTCCTGAAAGGCTTCTCTGACTGGTGAGCTCCTCTGAAGCTTTTGACTGAGGCACATTTGTCTCTCTCTGCCAGAAACCCTAAAATTGTATGAGACTTATCTTTAATTAGGATGAATATAAAATGTATTATTCAAATACAGCATTTTAAAAGTGGAAGAGTGTGCTATTAATAAATGCACTGGGATGGTTCCAGGCAAACTGGAGCATATGGTCACCTCTGTAATGGGATACGAGGCCCTTGTCAGTCAGCTGTTCTCCCCGCTGTCTCTCTCCATTGTAGTCTCTAGTTGTTTGAGGAAATAGTAGGCTAAGTTTTTTCTTCAGACAACTCTTCTCAACATTTTGTTTTCTACCTTGAAGTAGTACCCACTCTGCTGGCAGTAGCTTGCCAATGCTTTCAGAACCCCAAGTACTGATGCCCTTGCCAGGACAGATAAATTGTTAAAATGAGGGTAGCCTACTGCTCTGTGGATGGGAGGGAAGAAAATGGGTTCCTCTCCCCCCCATCTCAGCTGCCTTTCCTATTTCTTACCTTTATCTCCACCTTACCTGCCTTTGGTTAGTTGTAGGACTGTTAGTTACTGACCCCAAGAAGACTCAGTTTGGGAACAAGTTTGGGGATTCCTCTAAAGGGTAGATGTCAGCAGAGACTTGGACTGGAAGTAACTGTCTTTCCCACCTGAGTGCTCAGTTTCCTAAACCTCAGTCTTCTAAGGAAAGGACAAATCACTTGTCATTAACTTTTTTTTTCTTTTTTCTTTCTTTTTTTCTTTTTGTTTTTTGTTTTTTTATTTTGAGACAGAGTCTTACTTACCCTGTCGCCCAGCCTGGAGTGCAGTGTCACCATCTCGGCTCACTGCAACCTCCACCTCCCGGGTTCAAGCGATTCTCCTGCCTCAGCCTCCCGAGTACCTGGTACTACAGGTGTGTGCCACCATGCCTGGTTAATTTTTTCGTATTTTTAGTAGAGACACGGTTTCATCATTTTGGCTAGGCTGGTCTTGAACTCCTGACCTCAGGTTATCTGCCTGCCTCAGCCTCCCAAAGTGCTGGGATTATAGACGTGAGCCACCACACCCAGCCTAACTTTTTTTTTTTTTTTTTTGAGACAGTACCTCACTCTGTCACCCAGGCTGGAGTACGGTGGTACAATCTCAGCTCACCGCAACCTGTGCCTCCTGGGTTCAAGTGATTCTCCTGCCTCAGCCTCCTGAGTAGCTGGGATGACAGGCACCGCCACTGCACCCAGTTAATTTTTTTGTATTTTTAGTAGAGACAGGATTTCACCATGTTGGCTAGGCTGGTCTCGAACTCCTGACCTCAGGTGATCTGCTCGCCTCGGCCTCCCAAAGTGCTAGGATTACAGATGTAAGCCACCATGCCCAGCCTTTTTTTAATTAATTTTTTATTTTTTTGAGACAGGGTCTTACTCTCTCACCCAGGCTGGACTGCAGTGGCACAATCATGGCTCCCTGCAACCTCTGCCTCCTGGGCTCAAGCAATCCTCGCACCTCAGCCTCCTGAGTAACTGGGACCACAGGCATGCACCACTACACCCAGCTAATTTTTGTGTTTTTTGTAGAGACAGGGTTTTGTCACATAGCTCAGGCTGGTCTGAAACTCCTGAGCTCAAGCGATCCACCCACCTTGGCCTCCCAAAGTGCTCGGATTATAGGCATAAGCCACCAAATCTGACCATCATTACCTCTTCAATCTCTCTTTCTTTCCTTTCTCATTTCTCCTCTTCCTTCCCCCTCTCTCAGACTCACTGGACACAAGGAAGGGTCGTCTAGTTCTAATTTAAAGAGCCTTATTAGAAGTGCTTTCCAGTTAGGTAAAAGAAGAGTAATATCTTCGAAGTCTGGAGTCTTGTTCATTTTTATGCTGCTTGTTGTGTTGCCTTAGGTGATCTAATTTTTTACTGGAAAATTGAAATGAAAATATCAGAGATCAATGAAGGAACCATTACTCAACAGTGGCAGTGGAATAAGACCTACATGGACACATAATAGCATAATAGTTGTACTCACATAGTTCTCTATTGCTTTACTTTACATCTTTTCTAAAATGCATATTGGGCTTATAATAAAAGCTAGAATTTATTGAGGGCTGACCATATATACCTGGCACTCGGAATTCCCAGTCTTTTATATACATTAACTCATTTAACCCTAACAGAAACCCTATAAGAAAGACACAGTTTTCAATCCCCATTTTACGAAAAGGAAACTGAGGCACGAGGTTAGTTAAATAAGCTGTCCAAGATCACACAGCTGTTAAAAGGTAGAGCTGGAATTCAAACTCAGGAGGCCTGGCCCGGTTCCAGAGTCTATTGTTTTTAACCATTAAGCGATATAGCCTGCCTTCACAGGGGCTCCTGGTCTTAGCACACTGTCATAGTGAGGGATGAGGGGATATGTTTTGATTTTGTTAGTTTGAGGTATATCTGAATTTTGACCCATTGGGGCCCGTCCAGGTTTAAGGGCCATTAGTTCAAGTCTCAGCAACTTACTATTAGGTTGGAAGTTTCCACTTGGCTGGGCATGGATAGAATAATAAATGAAGTTACTCCTCCTGTCAGTAACTGGAAGGGAATCTGTTGGGAGATGATGGGTTCTGGCAAGGCAAGTGTCTTCACCCTTAGTGTCTCAAGGCCCAGGCTTAGGGAGATGGAGCAAGGGAACAAGGAAGATGTTACCCATGCTTAGACCTGCAGCCTCATGCCTAGAGACTCAAATAAATCTCAGCTAAAAACAGGCAGGTGTTTATTAGCCCTCTTCTGGTCCTGGCCCATTTCTCTCCATTTCACCCTAACAGGAGAAAAGCTTCTTGAAGGGCAGGTGATCCAGCTCGAGGATGGGACCACTGCATACATTCACCAGGTGACGGTACAGAAAGGTGAGGGCACCCCAACACACCATGCCTTGTGGAGGGAAGTCTGACAGCCCCCACCAAGGGACCCCTCCATGACACTGAGCTCCAGGGAAAAGCAGGCATTGCTCTCGTTACAGAATCTCTCTCCTTTGAGGATGGTCAACCTGTGCAACTGGAAGATGGCAGCATGGCTTACATACACCGCACACCCAAAGGTAGGGTCACCATCATCACAAATGGGGAAAGGATGGGAGGCCGGACAGGGGGATGGGGTGGCACACAACTGGGGTGTAGACATGGGAGCTGTCATCTCCACGGTACACACATGCTCACCTGGATTAGCAGCCTTGCCCACCTTCCCTGGTGCAGACCACAGGAGCAGCTATGTCTGCCACCGGGAGGTGAGCCTTGGGGATCAGTCACATGGACTTTGATGGTGGCCTTGGCTCCAGCACAGCCACAAAGTCTTAGGGCTTTAAATAGGACCTGAGGATATCATCCAAGACGAGGATAAAAAACTAGTATTTAAGAATGAAGCTCCTAAGGTGCTGAAGAATAACAATTTATTCCTTCTGCAGGTAGTTTCTTGAGTGACTGTTGCATGCCTGGCGTTGTGTTAGGTGTAGAGTATACAAGAGAGAACAAAGTCAGACACAGTCCCTGCTCTCCTAGAGTCTAGAGGGGGAAATAGAAGTGAAACAAGCCATCAGTGATGAACTGATCATACAAACAGAGATTAGGCTCAGGGAGGGCTTCTCTGAGGAAGTGATGCTTGAGCTGAGAGGTATAGAATGAGGTAGACTTAGCCGGGGGAAAAGGGATGGCAGGGAGGGTTCAGTACTTCAGGCAGAAGGAATAGCATGTGCAGGCCTAGAGCTGGGGGGAAGAAAGAACAGCACATTCCAGGAACTGCTAGGAGCAAGAGCCCTGGGAGGGAAGGCAGAACGAGCAGGAGGAAACTGGAGAGAGAAAGACAGCGCTGGCGCACTCTGGGTTTGCGTGTCAGGGTGAGGATTTTGGTCTTTATCATGAGACCAGTGGGAAGCATTTAAACTCTTCAGGCAGTTAAGTGACATGGTCACAATTGTGTCCTTCAAAGATCCCTCTGGATGTTGTGCTGCCTGGAGGGACCTAGAGGGGGTGAGGAGTGACTGGTCAGGAGGCTCTTGTGGTCATCTAAGCCAAGATGATCATGGGCCCCTGTCAGGTCCTCAAGGAGCTTGTGAGTTCCCATTTAGTGTACCATAGGAGACCTCGTCCTTAGGTGAGACAGCCCCAGGAGGAGGAACAGCAAGAGTGGATCACAAAGTGAAGGACCATGAGAAATTGGATGCTGAAACCCTCCTTGGTATATGTATCTCTCATTAACTTAAAGGTAGGGTCCCAGCTGTATCTCTTCCCCTTGTGTGGTATCAGGGCTAACCGCGTGTTCCCTGCAGAAGGCTATGACCCCAGCACCCTGGAAGCCGTCCAGCTGGAAGATGGCTCCACTGCCTACATTCATCACCCTGTGGCTGTGCCATCGGAGAGCACCATCCTGGCCGTACAGACAGAGGTGGGCTTGGAGGACCTGGCAGCAGAGGATGATGAGGGCTTCAATGCAGACACAGTGGTGGCCCTAGAGCAGTATGCCAGCAAGGTGAGCATGCAGAGCCTGACACAGTCTGTCACTCTCTAGACAACGGGGCCTTGCCTGTGCACTGCCTCTTGGCCCTGCCAGAACTTCGCCTCTTAAGAGGATAAGGGCAGCCCTGTGCTTGGGCACCATGTGGGATATTCCCTTTGCCCCTCCACCCCAGCTCCCCCAACTCACCTGTCACACATCGTTGTCTAGGGCATGCAACACAGCCTGGCCTGGCTGCTGACAGCTATTTACGCTCACTTTTGTTTCCGCTGTCTCTGCAGAGGGAAGGCTGCCATAAGAAACAGTGACATCCTTATGCTGGGGAGTTAGGCATAGCTTCACTTTGGCTGCTGTACTAATCCTCTGCACTAGCTGGGAAAGCCCTGCCAGTGCCTTGTATGAGCTTTCTAGTCCACTGAGGTAATTGTATTTATTTCTTCTCTGTGACTCACTTAGTCATTTGGAAAATTAACCTCAGTGAGCTATGACAAGGGCATGTGCAACAGAACAGCTGGGATTCCTGGATTATGAGGCCCACACAGTAGCTCAGCTGGAAAGGATAAGGGTCCTGGCTCTGCAAATACCAGTTAGTCCAAGTTCTTTCTGCCGGAACCATGGTCCTGCCTGTGGGGAAAAGGGTACAGAGATCTCTGAGCTTTCCAAACCAGGGTGTTCCCTTCCTGGAATGACTGCAGAGCCTCAGGCTGAATGTACCAGGGCTTCCTGCACGTTCCTTCCTTTCAGCAGTTTTACGCGAAGATGGGGGAAGTTTTTTATTTATAACGAAACCAGTGTGGCTGAATGGTGGAGGAAAAAAGGAAGTCCTTATGTCTTTTCAAAATGAAGCACAGGCTAGGTGCAGAGGCTCACACCTGTAATCCCAGCACTTTGGGAGGCTGAGGCAGGTGGATCGCTTGAGTCCAGTCTGGGCAACATGGCGAAACCTCATCTCTACAAAAAAAATACAAAAACAAATTAGCTGGGCATGGTGGTGCCCACCTGTGGTCCCAGCTACTGGGAAGCAGAGGTGGGCGGATCACGAGGCGGTGATTGCAGTGAGCTGAGATTGTCCCACTGCACTCCAGCCTGGGCAACAGAGGGGGACCCTATCAAAAAAAAAAAAAAAAAAGCAGCAGCAGCAGCACAAAACTTTACAGCAGGCTACGTTCACTCCCACCCCAGTTCCCTGAGGTATATTTTAGAGACCAAATGTGAGATTCGATGTTGATGTAAAGAGAAGTGGATTTTATTTAACTCATGAGCCCTGAGATCTGTGCTTGCTGTACCGCTACCTAGTCCAAACTTGGGTCAGTCCCTCCTCTCCCAGACCTCAGCTTATTCCTAATATGATGAGATGGGACAAGATGATCTCGGAGGTCACTTTTATCCCCGATGTTCCTTGATTCCCGTGATTACCCCAGGAGCTAGTGAGACATGGAATGAAATCCAAGTGCCTGTGTGAGTTAGCCCGCCAAGCAGGTCTGGCCACCTCTGACCCTACCCTTTACCCAGAAGCTGCTTAAGTGTCTATGAAACTCGCAGCTGCTTGAGCCCCTGAGCTGGAGCCTAACTAGACAGACCTTGGCGTTACCCCTGTGTCCCCTGCTCACCGTGACTTGCAGAGTTCAGTTTCAGGAGCTCCTGGAAAGACCAGAGTGTGATTCTGAAACATTCCAGAAAGAAAGACTAAGGAACAGTCCCACCAGGACCCTGCCCCGGCAAGCAAAAGAGCAATAAGGGCTCTTTGCATCCAGGGGCTGGTGTGAGATGGGTGATTTTAGCAATATCCCCAGAAGAGGAGACAAAAGGGGAGGACTTGTCAGCTGGGTGCTGTCATTAGAGCTGACATTTCTGGTGGGAACTGCAGCACTCCCCTGGGTGCTTCTGGTCGTGGCCACCTCACTCTAGGCCCCATGTCCTATCAGATGAACCTGGGTGAGCTCATCTCCACAGCAAGCCCCCTTGTTTATGTACTTTTTAAGCACTGGTTTCATGCCAGGAGTAAGGGGACCCCTCCCATCAGAAGATGGAGGTCTTGAGGGTTGCAGGCTCCTAGGCGTGTGTGCTAAGAAGGAGGGTTTCTGGCACTTGGCCCAGTGCAAGCATGGCCATTCAGACAACCTCCCTTTCCACCTTACCTAGCTGTCTATGTGATATCCTTTTTTCAATAGCTGTCACAGCCACTATAACCTGTAAGTCTCCCTTTATCCCATCAGAGATGGGTGGTGACTCCCCATGCCCACCCTGTTTCTTCTGTAGCATGCCCCAGCATCTGTTCCTTGTCTGTCTAGGTATGTTCTTCTGCCCCAGAGGCCCCTGACAGGCTTAACCCTGCCTATTGGGTCTTAAGCTGTCAGCAGGGCCCTGTGTCCCACCTTCTTCACTGGGGAGAATACATATAGGGATCTCAAGATTTTTCCCCCAGGTTCTTCATGACAGCCAGATTCCGCATAATGGAAAAGGACAGCAAGTTGGAGACAGAGCATTCCGCTGTGGCTACAAGGGCTGTGGGCGTCTCTACACCACCGCTCATCACTTAAAGGTAAGGTTGCTGGTAGACAGCCATCAGCTCTGCAGTCTTCCCTTCCAGGCTGTAATTCTACCTTTCCACTTTGATTGGAATTGGTCCCTGCCCTCAAGTTGCTGGAGGGAAGAAATGAGGGTACACAAGAATGTCAGGACAGAGCGTTTGACACACATGAATGGTACAGGAGGGAAGAGAATCAGGGTCCTAAAGAAAACCAAAGAACCCAGGTCATACCCTTGCTCCTCTGAATTATGTGATCGCTTGTCCTCACAGGTGCATGAACGAGCTCATACAGGTGACCGTCCATACAGATGTGACTTCCCCAGCTGTGGAAAGGCCTTTGCCACAGGTAACCTGCCTGGTGGGCTGCTTCCAGTTGAGGGTGGAAGGTTCTAGTTCTGTTTGGGATCTCCGTGAAGGGAACCCAACAGCAGGCTGCTTTCCTGGAGAAACTACCGTCAGAGTACTCTGACTTGCAGGGTGCTCTCTCTGGAGGAAACCTTGTTACGGGAGTGAAAGGCAGCATGGTTCAGGCCAGCAGAAGGAGCCTGGAGGGTTGGTGGAGAGACTCAGCCTCTTGTATCAGCTCTGATGCCAACCAGCTGTGGATTATTGGGTGGGCCATTGCATCTCTCTGGGCTTATTTTCCCCTCTGTGAAACTAGGACCTTTAGTCACGAGTTCTCTTAAGTTTCTTTCATGCTTATGTTCTGGTATGGCTCCAACTGCACCTGGAGAGGGAAGCAGGGCAGAGTGGGCTTTTCCAGCCCCTGCCGAGGCAGGGGTGGGATAGAGGCAGACATGGGTTTCTTGAGCCAAAGGAGATGGAGAGCCTGTGCATGAGGTGGATGGTGGAGGATTAGACCCCACTGGGTGCTCATCTCACCCCTCCCTGCCACATGTGGACAGGCTATGGACTGAAGAGCCACGTTCGTACCCACACTGGTGAGAAACCATACAAGTGCCCAGAGGAGCTGTGCAGTAAGGCCTTCAAGACCTCAGGAGATCTGCAGAAGCATGTCCGTACCCACACTGGTATGCTGGGCCCTGCCCACTCCAACCCCATTCCCTGGGCAAAAGGAATTCAGCTTGCCTTTCAGACTTAGACCTGGAGCCCGGTACCATCCCCTGCTTGCTCCGGCATGGCCCTCTTTCCCACCGCCCTCCTCACATCCCACCATTTGCATAGGGGAACGCCCGTTCCGGTGCCCTTTTGAGGGCTGTGGCCGCTCCTTCACCACGTCCAACATCCGCAAGGTACATGTGCGCACCCACACAGGCGAGAGGCCCTACACCTGCCCGGAGCCCCACTGTGGCCGCGGCTTCACCAGTGCCACCAACTATAAGAATCATGTGCGCATCCACACAGGTGGGCTAGCTGGCATGCGAGGACTACCCTCGCTCAGGCCCCAACCCCTCTACTGTAGTCTTCCCATCTAAGACACATTCCCAACTCCCAGCCCAGAACCCTTCTGTGCCAGCCATTCCAGGCTGGTCTGGGGGCGGGGTTTCTGCAGAACAACTCCACTTGCAGTGAGCAATTCCTCCATTTCCAGTTAGATCCAATCTGAAAGGTATTGCCAGTCCTCTCTGGGGTCCCTCAGCTCTCTACCACCCCTCTACACCCACCCTGAACTCTCCAACTCTGACTGAGCTCCTGAAAAGAGGCCAGGGTCAGGAATGGTGGGGAAGAAGCAGAGTGAACTGTCGCCTTCAACTCTTCACCTTATCCGCCGTCCATGACTCCTGTGTATCCTCACCCTCCCCAGTGTTGTGTGCCCTCGTCCAGCTTTCCGTGTTGTCTCTCAGCATGTGTGTCCCCTCTTTCCCATCACAACTGATACTTCAGTCATCCTTGCCTCTTGCCTCTGCTGTTCAGCACTCTCACCCTCCCACCCTCAACCTTATAAGCCCCAGTGCCCCCACCAGCCCCTTCACTAGCCCCAGCCTTGCCCTGTCCCCCATTTCCTTTCCACCTTGTCTCTGGATTCAGTGGTTCAACACTCTTGTCCTCTCTGTGTTCCACTGGCCATCTTCCCCAACCCTGTCCATTCAGAGTCTCAGGTCTCAGTCCCTCTCCCTCCCTCTGGCTCTCCCTTCACCAACCCTGTCCCTTACCCCTGTCCCCTTAGTTTCCCCCTTGCCAGCCCCAGTTCCCACCCCCCTCACAGCCCAGTGTCCCCAGGGGAGAAGCCATACGTTTGCACGGTGCCAGGCTGCGGGAAACGCTTCACCGAGTACTCGAGCTTGTATAAGCACCACGTGGTGCACACACACTGCAAGCCCTACACCTGCAGCACCTGCGGCAAGACCTACCGGCAGACCTCCACCTTGGCCATGCACAAGCGCAGCGCCCACGGTGAGCTGGAGGCCACGGAGGAGAGCGAGCAGGCCCTCTATGAGCAGCAGCAGCTTGAGGGTAAGGGGAGTGGGCAGGGAGTGAGAGTGGGGACAAGCCAGGCCTCCCCATAGCATCTGGTAGCAGGTGTCAGCCTTGGCTCTCCTCTCCCAGCCGCCTCTGCAGCCGAGGAGAGCCCACCACCCAAACGACCCCGGATAGCTTACCTTTCGGAGGTGAAGGAAGAGAGTGATGACATCCCAGCCCAAGTGGCCATGGTGACCGAAGAAGATGGGGCCCCCCAGGTGGCTCTGATCACTCAGGATGGTGCCCAGCAGGTACAGGCCCTGGGTACAGAGGTGCCACACTAGCTGGCACTCCCCACTCTCTCTGGGGACTCTGGGAGCCTTGAAGTTCTGACAGCCCCACTGCCACCCAGCTTCCTGTTTCAGTTTTATAGACCTCAGAGGCTGAGGCTGAGGGGACCACATCTTGTAGCGCAACCTCTTCTGTGCTTCCAGCTCAGTCTCTGGGGCTTCTGGAGCACAGTTAGTAGTTTCTCTTTTTACTTGGAGGCTGACAGGTCCTGTTCATCTGAACAGGACATGGGATGTCCTTCTCGAGAGAGGCATGTGCGTATAGCAGCCAGAACATGATATGGGGTTTGAAAGCTGGGGTCTGGTCCTACCAGTGTACTAGCCAGCTGCATAACCTAACCATACTCTTGTTAGAAAGTGCATCTGTGCTTTCTAGAGTTGTTAGGACACAATCAGGTGGCGACCCTGAGCTACATACAACAGGGCCCAGAGGCAAAATGGTGATAAATAGAAGTAGGCAGTGGAATTCTTCTAGTGTGGCCTCTCTTTGCAGCCTTGGACCCATTTCGTTTGCCTGTCACCCATCCCTTCCACCACTGTGACATGAAACTAATAAGCTGACCTTGTCTGGGAGAGCAGGTATATCTTCCTTAGGGACTTTCAGACAACCCTCCACTGACACTGCCAGCTCATCTTCCCCCTCCTGTTGACAGGTCAGCCTGTCCCCGGAAGACCTCCAGGCTCTGGGGAGTGCCATCAGTATGGTCACCCAGCACAGCAGCACCACTCTCACCAGCCCCAGTCATGATGCCGACTTGGCCACATCTGGCACACATACAGTCACCATGGTCAGCGCCGATGGCACCCAGACGCAGCCCGTATGACCAGGGGGTTTGCTTGGGGTTTCTTATTTTGTCATTCCTTTCCATGGGGTGGGCATTAAAGTGCACTCTAAACTAGTCAAGCTTTCTTACCAGGACAAAGATTCCCCACAGTTCATGGGCCATGAGCAGCTCTCATCTTTAAAAGCAGTTGAATGGAGGTTAAGACACACTTTATACATCTCAATTCAACCCTGACTTGTTTTGCAACCTTAGGCAAATCACTTTTCCATGGACTTCTGTCCATTTTCAAGTGAGAGGATTAAAATATCTCTGGAATTTTTTACAGCTCTGTCCTGTGATTCAAAATCCCTAAATTAAATTGGGCTCTAAGTTGGGAGGAAACCCAGCCTTACTCAGATCTGAGCCTCAGGCTAATTAATCTGACCCATATGGTTTTATCCATTCTCTTCTGGGTTGTTCCCAGCACCTTAATTGGAGGGATGTTTGTTTGGATCGTGGGGAGGGAGAGTATACTGCGGGTGGAATGGAAGACCTCCTTTTGCCTTTTAGGTCACAATCATTACCTCTGGGGCTGTGGTGGCTGAGGACTCAGGTGTAGCCTCTCTTCGTCATCAACAGGTGGCACTGTTGGCCACAGCCAACGGAACGCACATTGCAGTGCAAGTGAGTAGAGATCTGGGAGGAAAGGGCATCCCACGGCCAGAGAAGGCAACAAGGAATAAAGGGGAATTAGATGAGGATCTTGAAGAGAAGGGTATCTGACTCAAAAAGAGCCCATTTCAGAGGACAGATCCCTTTCCTCCTGCATCCATGCATCTGTCTCAGGCTCGCTCTTGGCTGAGGCAGAATGTTGAAGCCTCTTCTGGCCTTCAGGATAACTCCGATGGCAGTCTACCTGTGGTCCAAGTCCTTCATCTCTTTGTGTCTCTATTTCTTCATCTGGAAATTGAGGAGGCTGAAGTAGATGATCACCACGGTTCTCTTCAGCCAGTCCTTCTTCCGTGAGCAAGCTGGTCTCTCTGACCCTGACTATTCCAGGGCCCCCTGGCCATGCCTAGCCTAATAGGACTCTTCATCCGTGAACTTCATGTTTATTGGAGCCCTACTAAGTGCTCAGTGTGTGGCACTGGATAGATGGGGGAGAGTAAAAAAAAAAAGTAGGCCACATACTACTAACACTGGAATCTAGCAGGGAGGATCTCACTCACTACTTCCTTCTGCACCCCCTTCCCCACAGCTGGAGGAACAGCAGACCTTAGAGGAGGCCATCAGTGTGGCCACCGCGGCCATGCAGCAAGGGGCCGTGACCCTGGAGACAACAGTGTCGGAGAGTGGCTGCTGAGTCCAAGAGGGCTGGGTCTCACACCATGCTGGAGGAAGTGCCATGCTGCATGGCCACTCTTGCCCCCAAGGGCCCAAGCTGTGGCTGACACATGGAAGGTGGCCACATAGGTCTCTGGGGTGAGAAGACAGCAAAAAATGGCCTAACTGAAGGAAATGGGGACCCTGCCCAAGATGGGGGCCAGGCAGCTGGAATCAGGGGAGTGCATCATCCCCGGGAGCTGACAACAAACCAAGCTACACCAGGGTGCCCTCCTCTCAAAATCAGCTGGGCGCCCGCTCTCCTAAAGAACACCCTTCTGGCCCTCCGTCTGCTCTCCTTCTCAGGTAGAGATTGGGGCTGCTATGGGAACTGGCCCTCTTAGGGGAGAGCCACAGACAGCTCTTCAGCCCAGTAGCAGCAGAGCAGGCCCTGTCCTGCCCTCCCAGCAATAACCACCTTTCTGGAGGCCAGCTGAGATGCCTGTACTTGGCACCAGGGACTTCCTGAGACCACAGTCAATTAATTCCTCAGGGGCCTGTGGCTGGAGAAAAGGTGCCCAGCCCCCGCCACTCCTCAGCTGCCCCCCAACCTCTCTATGGCAGAGAGGTAGGGAGTGGCCCTGTACATAGACTGCTGGGGATTGGGTTTGATTTGTTTTGGTTTTTTTTAAATTCCATTTTGATAATTTTTTTCCTGCTCTGGGTGGTGGTGGTGGCACATGGATGAATGAGTATTTAATAAAAGTTCCAAATTTCCACCTGGGTCCTCCATCCTTTCAGCTCTAGGCCCGGGTGGCAGGGTTGATCAAGTCAGGCTCTCAGCCCTGTCTCCCTGGCACAAACCCCACTCAGCCTTGGTGCCAGAGTGGTGGGGCTGGCCTGCCAGGGACACAGATGGGAAGGAAGCCCAGTATAAGATAAAGCCCTGAGGAGCTGCTGGTGGCTTCTTGCCCACAGCTGAGCAAGTGGGCTCCAGGGTGGCCAAACAGGACCAGGATGACCGCTGCTTCCGGGCTCTGGCTGAATCTCGGGCCTCGGGTGATTAATCTGGAGGAACTCTTTTCCTGCCTTTTCTTGTGGAATTTAGTCAGAGCCCCTCCAACCCAGCCACCCCCAAATCACACAGTCAGCTTCTCCAAGAGGGCAAAGCCCCAGGTTAGAGTGAGGCTGGGGGGCACCTTTGCCAAGGTTACTGAGGTTCAAGGAGCAGAGTCTGATGCCTCTGGAGCTGGTCTTGGCTCTATTACCCAGCTCTGTGGGTGCCCACCTAGATATCTAGGACTGTGCTATTGGATTTCAAAGCCACAACCATGCCCCAAAAGTGAGTTGGTGAGACCAGATCAGCTTTGGTGGGAGGAAGGGATACAGGGGAAGGCACTTGATGGGAAGAAGCTCTGGGTTTGACTCTGCCTAGAAAGGAACATTGCAGGGATTAGAGGTGCCTCTTTTCCTCTCTCTGCTGTGATGGATATGCCCCAACCCCTTCCTGCCTCCTAGGATTGGAACCCCCTCCTCTGATCCAGGCATCCTCTCCTAGGATGCCTAGAAAGCTCCCATTTACTCTTGCCACCAGCTCCTTGGGAAGATAGGGGCAGGGGCATGCTTCCAGGCAGGGGGTATTCCCAGAACCTTAGTTGGAGGGATGTTTATTTGGATTGGGGGGTAAGGGGAAGTGTCTCAGAATTGGCCTGAGCAGATGTTTTCAACATCTGTGACCACCATTCCTGGTGTGGGTGTGTCCCAGTCCTTTTGGACACTGGATCTGAAGAAATGGAAGCACTGACGTGGAGGGCCCTGAATCCCAAGCCTGCTGCTGCTGGGACCCTTAAAGTTGAGGTGCACCACAAGGCTCACCACTGCGTGTTTCCGAAAGTCCCCAGTGTCTTCAGGGCCTCTGAGGCTACAGTGGGCAGTGCTCAGAATACTGTTTAGAGCCAATGCTGAGGGGACAGGGAGCCAGCAAGTCAAGTGCCACATCCTGACCTGGAGAGGTGCCCTGGCCCATTTCCTTCTCCAGCTTTGTGATACTGCCTTTGTTTCCTTCCACTTGGATGGAGTCCCGCCACCGTGGTAATATTAAGTAGCACCAAAAGCTCTACCCAGAGCCTACTATGTGCTTTACATCCATTCTCAGACATTCTTACAACACGGAGGCATTTTCCCTGCTTTACCAATCAGGAAACTGCTCAAGGAGATTAAGTAACTTACCCAAGGCCTCCTATGTGTAACTAGGACTGGACCTTTAGTCTGTCTGACTCCAATATCAGGATGAGCTTGCTTTTTTCCTCAGCAAGCTGCCTCTGGGAGCCCCAAAAGGCTCCAGAAGGCTCCAGGACTGAGGAGGCTTCTAAAAGGGCCTCACATGCCCCAGGAGCCAGGTGGATACAGAACGAGGGTTCGCACTCTCAGAGAGTTGGTCCCCAGTTCCCATGCAGGGAGTGGAGCTTCTGAGCACTGCCAGAGCAACAGGCAGGGTTCTTGCCAGCACGGAGCCTCACGGAGTGAGCAGGCAGGTGGAGCTCTCGCTCCACCGCAGCCCCTCTGCGGTCTCTGCAGCCGTTTGCATTTCCTGAAACCGGATCTTGGTGTCAGAGCCGCCCCCAGCCGGGCGGGCGCCTCAGCCATGGCCCTGCGCAAGGAACTGCTCAAGTCCATCTGGTACGCCTTTACCGCGCTGGACGTGGAGAAGAGCGGCAAAGTCTCCAAGTCCCAGCTCAAGGTGAGGGGCACCCAGGGCCCAGGGGAGGAGGGCAGATGCACCACACCAGCCCTTGCCGCCTGGGAGCCAGGTGTGGACACTGTGCCACTCCAGGGGCACCCAGCCATCCAGTGTCTCGGGCCCAGGGTCAGGGGGTTGGTCCTGGGTAACTGGGCCAACATAGCCTGGTCGATGCCGCTGCCCACCCTCCAGAGACCTAGTGAAGTATGCGCAGAAACCTTGTGCAGAACTGGGCCCCACAACTGGAGGCCAGGGGTTTCTGAGGGCCATCATGGGGTTCTGAGGGCCAGGAGCCAGGCCACATCCCAGACTCCATGTGATGAGCACACACATCTCCACAGAGTCATGCTTGGGCACGCAGTCTGCTCTTTCTTGCCGCTTCCTCCTGACTTTCAAGAGAAACAGTTAGCCAGTACTTGGCAGTCATTTCCTTTGGAGTTGAGAGAGGCATAAAGGGGCCGCCCCCAGTCCCAAACCAGTCTGGCCTGCCTAACCCTGCCCCCCAGGTAGAAAAGAGCTGCGGAGTGGGTGAGGACTGAGGACCCTATTATACTGCTACCCAGCTCACCCCCCTATCCCCTACACATACCGGGTTGGTAAACTTACCTTAGGCCTTGAGACCTCAGGTAGGGAAGGGGTGGAATCTAAGCCCAGGAAAACCCCCATCAATGATTGTCCTGAAGTCAATCATCTGGCCTAGACAATTTCTGGAAGACCGAGGAGTTTTTCTCTCTCTTCCTCTAGTCGTCCATTAGTGCTGCCTTCCCTACCCTAGTTAGTGGGGAGGAAGCAAGGCCCTCAGCCACTAGAACCAGTGAACGCTGGGGGAAAGGAGCAAGGTAGGCCTCAGCTCTCTTGGACCTGCCATAGGGGTGCCTTCATTCACTCTGCAAGTACTTGAGTGCCCCTCGTGGGACTCTGTGCCTGGCATGTGGCTAGGCACTAAACTCCTGGTGTCTCCCTACCCCATCCTCCAAAGGAGATGTGTGTGTCTCAAGGAAATCTCCATTCTTAATGACCGAGGTAGAGGGTGCCTGGGAGATGAATGGGACAGAATAGTTACTGTGCCCCACTACAGTTCCAACCCCCAACTTTACTGAACTTGGACGCGAGGAACTTGAATATCCCAGACTTGAATATACAGAACGAGGGTTCCCTCTCTCAGAGAGTTGGTCCCCAGTTCCCATGCAGGGAGTGGAGCTTCTGAGCACTGCCAGAGCAACTGGCAGGGTTCTTGCCTGTTGAATATCCCAGACTGGTCCTATGTTACAGTTCCTTACCTGGATTTGCGAAAATCTAATAGATGATTTCACTCCCCCAGGAAGGAGAGCCCACTACCATCTTTTGTCACCTGGGGAGAACTTCCTAACAGATTCTTCCTTACATCCTATTTAAATCTCTTGTATTGCAGATCATGTCATTTGGTTGGGTTCTCAGTATAAATGGAAAAAAGTCGATCATCCAAAATCCATTTCTGCAAACTCTGTATCCCAACCCTATCTCCCACCCTGCCCCTTTAGTATCTTGCCAGACAATACCAGCCCCCGTGGCTCTTTGCTTCCAGGGTAACATTTTTCACCTCCGTATTACCTGTGGCCCCGAAACCTCTCCAGGCTCTCTCTGCCCTTCACATATGGAAGGTACAGCCTTTAACTGGCTCCCCTTTTCCTGGTGCCATCAGCCAGTAAAACTTCCTAGCTTGAGCCTCTGTCTTGCCCTCTAAAAGGGCCAGTACCCACTCCCTCACCCCCATAGGTTGCATATTTCTAGGGAAATACTTCATGGAGAGCTTGCATGCTTGAACTGTCCACTGTCTGTACCTCATCACAGCTCATATTGAGCCTAATGCCAGCAACATCTGTGGTCACACAGGATCAATGATAGAGTTCACTCCTACTTGACAGAAAAATTGTCCACTCTGGAAGCCTGAGCTAACAGTGGGAGTCTCAGGGGCCAAGTGGGGGTGGGGCAGAAATGGCAGGGCTCCGTTCAAGCCCATAATAGTGAATATTGAAAGGGGAGGAAGTAGTGATAGTGTCGAGGGGTGGGGATTCCAGCAAAGCAAAGGAGTAATAGAGAAGTGGTCAAAAGGCAAAGGAGGAAGCAGACGAGAGAGTTATACAAGCAGGGCCCACCTCTCCCCTGAAAAGACTTGGGGCTGAGGGAAAAGACCTTGGAGTCAATCTGGTTTTTTGTTGTTGTTGTTTTAGAGATGAGATCTTGCTCTGTCACTCATGCTGGGTACAGTGGTGCAATCATAGCTCACTACAGCCTCAAACTCCTGGGTTCAAGCGATCTTCCTACTTCAGCCTCCTGAGTAGCCGGGACTACAGGCACGTGCCACCGTGCCTCGCTAATTTTTTTATTTTTTATTTTTTAGAGCCTGAGTCTGATTATGTTGTCCCGGCTGGTTTCAAACTTCTGGCCTCAAGTGATCCTCCGGCTTCTGCCTCCTGAGTAGCTGGAATTATAGTCTTGAGCCACCTCACTGGGCTGGTTACTAAAACCATCCCTAGCCGTAGGGTCCTGGGTTGGGACCTGACAGGAGACCTGCACTAGCGCAGGGCAAGATGTGTCGGTGGGTGACATTTGCCACTTCTCCTCTAATGTGTTGGTAGAGGGGCTCCCAGTGGCTATCCTGGGCAAACCCATGATGAGGCCAGAGGGTAGGAGGAAGAACAGCATGTCCTCTGAGAAAAGCCCAAGGAGTGGGGTTGTTTCTCCTGGAGAAGAGAAGGCTTGAGGGAAAAAAAACAGGTACTTCTTCCTCTCTTTGAATTCTTGAAGAAAGCACAATGGCTTCGTTCAGTTGGGTTGAGAACAGAGAAAGTAAACCAATAGGAACGGCACTCCTGCCCAGGATGGATTTAGGTTGAACACAAAACTTCCCAGGAGTTGAGGGCTGTGAGTTTTTGCAAGGTTCCCAGAACCACCTCTAAAAATATTTAAAAGGTAGCCATCCTGACAGAGGGCTGTAAAGAGGGGAGCCTTTGGGAATGATGTGTGTCCTACTGACCACACCCTCTTCCCCAGGGGAGCAGTTTTGATTTCGGGACTAGTGGAGGATCAGTTGATAATTTGGCCTCCTTCCCCCTTGACTATCAGGCAGTGGGGTGAAGGGGTATGTAGATGGAGCAGTGTGTCTCCGGTTTGATGAGGATCTTAAGGAGGCACCAGGCCTACCACTTCCTCCTTGACTGACAGGAGCTGGGGGAAGGGAAGGAGGGTAGACAGGGTCCTTCCAGTCTCCTGCACCTCCAGCTGACATTCAGAGCATTCCTGGAGCCCAGAGTGAGACTCATGCCCACTGAGAGTCAATGAGTTTCAGGTTTTGCCGCCTCTGGAGAGGGACAACCACCTTCTCCTTAATGGAGGAAAAGTTAAGAACAGCTCCAGTCCAAAAACCTGCTAGCTAGGATCATCAGCTTTGTCCTGACCCCTGTGTGCTACTGGTCTCTCCAAGCTAGGATTTGTGGGTAGGGAAGGGAGGATGATTTAATGATGTGCAGAGCACTTGACTCAGAACCACACAGGCTTGGATCCGTACTGCTCCCCATCTGGGTGACTTTAAGCAAGTCACTGTCCGTCTTCAGTTTCTCATCTATAAACCAGGGGGTTGATCACCAAGTCATCCAGCCAGCCTACAAAAATAAAGAATAAATTCTGTACCTCAAATAGGTAAAATTGGTCTGTGATGCAGCCTCTCCTTTCCCTTAACTGGGCCTCTGTCTCCTTTGACGCCCACACCCAACCCCTCCAGCCCCCTCTCAGAAGGTGGCACGGCTAATCCAAAGATTCCCACCTTTTAAAATTTCCAGTGTTACTCCACGATAGTAGTTATGCTTTTCTAGTAACTCACTAGAATACATTTGGTAACTCTTAAAAGGAGCTGTGTCTTTTTTTTTTTTTTTTTTTTTTTTGAGACAGAGTCTTGCTCTGTCACCCAGGTTGGAGTGTAGTGGCATGATCTTGGCTCACTGCAACCTCCACCTCCCAAGTTCAAGTGATTCTCCTGCCTCAGCCTCCCAAGTAGCTGGAATCACAGGTGCCCACACCACGCCCAGCTAATTTTTGTATTTTTAGTAGAGCCAAGATTTCGCCATGTTGGCCAGGCTGGTCTTGAACTCCTGACCTCAGGTGATCCGCCTGCCTTGGCCTCCCAAAGTGCTGCGATTACAGGCATGAGCCACCGCACCTGGCTGGATCTGTGTCTTTTACAAGGGTCACTTGGAACCTAGATTCATTTAAAGACCTTGCTGGGCACCGTGGCTCACACCTGTAATCCCAGCACTTTGGGAGGCCATGGCAAAATAATCACTTGAGTCCAGGAGTTTGAGACCAGCCCTGGCAACATAGCAAGACCCCAACTCTACAAAAAACGAAAAATTTAGGCATGATGGCACGTGCCTAGAGTCCCTGCTACTCCAGAGGCTGAGGTGGAAGGATCGCTTGAGTGGGAGAGGTCAAGGCTGCAGTGATCCGTGGTTACACCACTGCATTCCAGCCTGGGCAATAGAGTGAGATTCTTTCTTTAAAAAAAAAAAAGTCAATTTAGGAGCGAAATCTTTCTGAAATCGTTGCTGGGTGCTTTTATGGATTCCCAAACCCTGGGGATCCTGAAGGCTGGAAACTACAGAATCAGTTCTTGCTGACTGTTGCCAGCATGGACCTGACACCCACACTTGAGTTTTTAGGATCCCCAATCCCCACATCTGAGTTTTAGAGGATCCCTCAAGTCCTGAGAGGAGAACTACTCCCCTACATGCCTCCAGAGGAAAGAGTGAATAGATGAAGCATCTCAAATGTCAGTGACTGCCAACTCAGAGGCCAGGGGCTCCCTGGGTTTGTGGAGACTGTGGGAGTCCTCTCTGAGGAAACCCGAATGGCAGCTTGTGAAAAATACACCTGGACCCCACCCCTGGAAACTCTGAGTCAGTAGGTCTGGGCTGGGCGGGCATGTTTCAGTTTCACCAGCTCCCTGGGTGATTGTGGTGCTCAGC